TAAGGGAAGACAGGGAGTGTATACACCGACGCCATTGTGATCGATTCTGAGCCATGTCACCAAGAGTCTCCAACCATTGGTTACGAAAGTCACGCGGACCCCAACCAAGTAGTCTGCATCTACCAACATGGCTAAGACTAGAAGTTAGTGACTTCAAGCACTGATGCCACGTTTTGGTTTGGCCGCCCCTAACTTTTTTCCAACCATCCCCTACACCGGTTAGCATTGCACGTCGTGGTAATCGGTGTTCAGGCATACGTAATACGTGGCCCAACCATCTCAGTCGATGAAGATTCACAACCTCATCAACTGATTTACCATCGTTACCTAATACCCTGCGTCTAACCTCACTATTACTTACCCGGTGATCCCAGCAGACGCCAGCAATATTTCTAAGGCATCTGTGGTCAAATACTTGTAGCTTACGGGTGTCTTCTACTCTTAAAGGCCATGTTTCGCTGCCGTAAAGTAAGACAGAACGGACTGCCGCGCAGTATACTCGTCCTTTTATTGATAGACGGATATCTCGCCTTCGCCAAAGGTGACGTAAGTTGGCAAAAGCCAAGCGAGCTTTTCGAATCCGTGCTGAGATTTCGTCAGACACCAACCCATTAGGGCTGATCAGACTTCCAAGATAAGTGAAGTTGTCAACGCGTTCGACTACTTCACTCCCTATCCTTAGTTTAGGTGTTGATGCAGACCAGTCCTGAAGCAACAACTTGCATTTAGAGGGAGAGAAGCGCATCCCAAACATTCTGGCATTGTTGCTTAGTGCTACCAGAAGACTCTGCATTTTGTCAGCGTCTTCACCAAACAGGACTATGTCATCTGCGTATTCTAAGTCGATAAGTGGACCTCCTGGAAGGAGATCAATACCCGAGAATTCAGTCGACGAGAGTGTTATTTCCATCAATAGGTCAATGATGAAGTTAAACAAAAATGGAGAAAGTGGACAGCCTTGACGGACACCACTTGAAGTTGCAAAAGTAGATGACAGTTCGCCATAAGCCCTGACTCGACTAGTAGTGTTCGAGTAAAGAGCCTTCACAAGGTTTATGTACTTCTGAGGTACGCCTTTCAATGACAGACACTGCCACAGAGTCTCGCGGTCTACAGAGTCAAACGCTGCTTTTAAGTCAAGAAAGACCACCATCGTCGGACGCCGATAGGTATGCCTGTGTTCTAGAACCTGACGAATGGTGAATATGTGGTCGATGCAGCCACGACCAGGTCTAAAGCCAGCTTGGTTCTCTCGAGTTTGTAGTTCACGAGTCTTAGTTAGACGTCTGATAATTATCGAGGCCAGTATTTTAGATACTATGTTTGTTAAACTAATCCCTCTGTGGTTGTCACAGGATGATTTTGACCCTTTCTTATATATTGGGACGATAAGTGATTGCGACCAGTCAGATGGGATAAAGTCTAATTCCCAGATCTTAGCTAAAATATTAGTCAACCTAATCGCTAAAATTGGACCACCATCCTTAAAGACCTCTGGAGCCAATCCATCTGGACCAGCTGCCCTTCCTCGTTTCAGATTAACTATAGCCTTTTGAACTTCAGCAAGAGTTGGGGGACCTACTTCAATGTTCCATTCACATTGTCTGGGAATGGAGGGTAGTTGTAGAGTAGCTGAAGGCCAGCTGAACTGTTCTCTAAAATGTTCCGCCCATCGTTCTAAACGTCTGGACTGGGAGCAGATGAGAGTATTATCTTTTTCCGAAATAATCTCACTTACACTTGACTTATTAATTCCAGTTTCTTTTATTAGTCTGTAAAGCTGTCTTGTGTTTCCTATAGTCGCCGCCTTTTCCATCTCTTTTGCTTTCGTTACCCACCACTGCTCACGGTCGTTCCTTAGACTTTTTCTTAACCTAGATCTGATTTGTTTTCGCTCTTCATCATGTTCAGAACCTGATGGGACGACTTTGCGAGAATCCATCAGTGTGACAGACCTTGAAGAAATCCACTGGTTCCTTGCAACTCTGTGGTTTAAGTCACTAATAGATGTCACTGCTGTTTCCACAGCTGATTGTATGCCCTTCCAAGCAACATCTGAGTCAACCTCGTTTTCACAACTACCTAAGTGTGACCTCAGTTGTTCCTGGAACCTACTTTTGGTTTTCTCGTTACTCAACTCAGTTCTAACGGGTCTTTTTAATGTGGCTTTTTTGCGTCCAGTGAGGCGCAAGCAGATGCGTGCCCGTATTAGGGCATGGTCGGAGTCCAAGCAGGTACTCCAGAATGAGCGACAATCTTCTACCGACCGTCTCCAACGATGACTGATGGCAATATGGTCTATTTGAGTCCATCGTTGGTTTGGTGTAGGGGGTCGCCATGTTAGACGATGTCTCTCCTTATGCTTAAAATTTGTGTTTGCTAAAAATAAACGATTGTCTGAGCATAGCTGCAGCAGACGATCACCATTATCTGTTCGCTGTGTCGGAATACTAAAATATCCACCTAAATGCCTTTCTGTTTGGTTTAAGCTACCTATCTGAGCATTAAAATCACCTGCTACGAGTACTATGTCTGAGCGTTTAGCTTTCTGAAGAAGTTCAGAAAGCTTTCTGTAAAATTCATCTTTCACTTCATCTGAGCTGCAGTCAGTGGGAGCGTAGACAGAAACGACAAAAAGGCAACGACGTGTGTCCCTATCCTTCCGAGTTCTTACGCAGCCGTTCAGCCGAACAGCACATAGACGACTGTTGACGGGGATCCACTCTAGCAGTGCTTGTTCGGCCCTCATGCTTAGTGCTATGCCTACACCTGCCAGTCCACGAGAACTGGCCATCGGGTCACCAGATACACGAAGGGTGTATCTCGTTGGCTCTCCGTTCTGCCGAGGTGAGGTCAAGTGAATGACCACACTGGGATCCTGTATGCGTGTTTCAGAGACACAGCATACATCAATGGTAAGGAAGCCTGTTGACCGATTTGACATAGAGTGCGTACGTTGAAAGCTCCAATGTGTAGTTTGGAGCGAGGTTTCAGTAGACCTGGGACAGAGTTTTGAGCACTAGAATCGTTGGCTATGGTGACACTTGAAGAGGAAGCCGAAGGAGGAAGTTTAGGGTTGAAAGTCGATGTAGGAGGAATAATAGGAATTGAAGAGGAAGGTTGATTAGGAATACAGTGATCTTGGGTGCTGTTAGAGGTATGAGGGCGGTTATCACTTCCCGGTTGCCCACACCGAGGAAGGGTTCTTCTGGAGGTACCTGAAAAGGAAATTGGATTAGAGGTGGTCTCAGTGACCTGAGAGCGTGACCGCAGTGCCCAAGGGACAACTGCTTGAGGCCGGGCGCGCACGGCCTTTTCGTGGAAGGTTTTCGACGTGTTAGCTCCGTTCTTCAAAGGGCCTTACCGCCGGAGACGGAGATCCGTGAGGTAAGGTGAGGTGTGACATTTTTAGGGTCGACCTTTTCTAACCCCACCCCTCCTTGTGGGAAGGCAGCATCGCTGTCATGCTGGTTGTCTGAAGGAAACACCTTACTGCTGTCACACCTCTGTACAGTCAGCAGTACGACTTCGCCTTCGGACCTTGGGTTTGTTGCTTTTAGTCTTACCGCTCTTCAACCGACCTGTCTGACATGGTAGGACCTTGAGGAACAGTTGTTCCAGCCAGTATAGCTCGGTTGCTTCATCACGATAGGCAAGCCCGACCACCACGTCAAGGTAGCAACAACGGTCGGGAAACCCGAACTAATTATAGGGAGTGAAATAGTTGAACGGGTCGACCGCTTCACTTATCTCAGAAGTCCCATCAGCCCTTGTAGTCTGGTGTGTGACAAAATTTCAGCACGGATACAGAAGGCTCGACTAGCTTTTGCCAACTTGCGTCATTTATGGCGCAGGCGAGATATCTGTCTATCAACCAAAGGACCGGTTTACTGCGCAGCAGTTTGTTCCGTTCTACTTTGTGGCAGTGAAACATGACCAGTAAGAGTAGAAGACATTCGTAGGTTACTATTATTTGATCATAGGTGTCTTCGAAACATTACTCGTATATCCTGGGACCATCGAATAAGCAACACAGTTGTTAGAAAATGGGTACTAGGTAAGGATGGCAAATCAATTGATGAAGTAGTGAAAATTCATCAGTTGAGATGGTTGGGACACGTGTTACGTATGCCCAACCACCGACTGCCCCGACGTGCGATGTTCAATGGCATAGGAGTAGGTTGGAAGAAAGCTAGGGGTGGCCAGACCAAAACATGGCATAAATCCATGAAGTCACAGACAAGTGGACTGAGTCATGTTGCTAGGTGTAGACTTTCTGGTTGAGGACCGCGAGACTATAGCAGCCGGTGGTTAGAGACCTCCACCTAGAGGAGTTGGAAAGCCCTGATTCCAAACCAATGGTGAACATGGGCTCCAGGATCCTGAAGGAAAAAATGGCGTATGAACCAATCGTTGGTCACCGGCTACCATAGAACTGCATCTCCTTGTTGACCAGACCTTTAGGTCACAGGCTCCGGGCTTGGCTTCCTAAGAAAACCACCTGCTTCGGTTTGGGCACCCGGGCAGCATCCCAGCCTCACACAAACCGAATGATTTGTGTGGCGTATATCTATTTGGTGCCTCCTTGTACCAATGTTTGTGTTTAAATAAATTAAATAAGTACAATATGAAAGCAAATAAAGTAATTCAACAACACTGCAGAAACATCTATAGTAACAAACGCTAATTCTTAGTGTTAATTGCTTGATTACATTAACAGATAACATTGGGTCAAAAACTACTCGCACAACAAAGTTTTTGACCTAAAACGGAATGTTTTGGTACAGCTTTCACTTCCTGAAAAATGTTGAAAATAATCGACCAAGAAATTGGAGCTATTAAAATGTATCTAATACAAATGAAAAAGCCTATTGTCTGTATTCTATCTGAGAATCAGAATACTAACCCAGAGATTGGGGAATGAACATTCTTTATGACACGCTGACAAATCACATATACAGTTTAGTAATATGGGAAAGCTCAAGAGACCTTTTACTCACCTTCCGAATTTCGCTTAACTGTCCACACTGCATTTGGATTACCTGGAAGGTCTGATTTTGCCATTTCAGATACCTCTAAACCATGTCTTAAAAGCCTAAATGTTGATCCTGGACCTCGCCCACACAAAGCAGCCAACTGAGGCGTATCTTCATTGGCAAAGTCGGCAATCTAAAACGTTATGAAAGTATGTAGTACTCACGTGACAGCTCATAACAGGAGATAAACTTTCTAAGACATCAACTTCAATGAGATTTTTAAGTGGTCTGGGGGCGAAGTAAAACGTATCTCCCTCTTCTAAAGGCATGGCTGAAGAGAATTCTGGCTCGTCATCATCATCACCAAGATGAGCTATTTGATATAGACAACTACCAAGTATGTCAAGGATTAGGTCAACTTACTGGTTGCCGAACTCTGATGCAACGAACAGAAAACCTGTCTTCAAAACACACATAGCAGAAGCCACTGGAACAGTATCGAAATATTTGAGCTTAATTTCCGTCACCATATCATCATCGACTTCGAGATTTATTTTAAAGATATCTCCTTGTTCTGTTTGAGCTAAAAAGAAAAATAAGTTCTACCAAGTTTAAGGCATAAACATCTGACAAACCTTCGTTTTATGTGAGGCGCTACATACAAATAAAATACCTCTATCAGGATCATCCAGATCATTTCGTCGCTGAGGTATTGGACAACGTATATCAGGTTGATCACCAAAATTTTTGTATGTTATGTAGTTCTCTGAGCAAATCAATATACCAGAAGGACCTTCGTTGCCACCAGGGACAGCAATCAGGAAATTCGCATGCTCCTCCAATGGTTCAGAATATTTGCGGACAACATGGTTAAGGCCAAGATCCAGTTCATAATAAGTCAGAAGTTGATTGGCCCCACGAGCCGCTTCACCAGTAGAGTCCTGGTCAGCATCTTCATAATCCATCTCGATGCAAGCAAACAATGGGTTGTCGAATCCCACATCTACACCTACCATATGGTAGACTAAGGTATTTGACTTGTGTGCTTCTAATGGAGAAGATATGGTAAGTCTCGCTTGAGAGTCTCTATTCATGATGTACACAAGTTTTTGTTTCTCAACAGCACCAATCATGAAAGCACGTCCCTTAGGATTTACAGCTAGATATTGTCCAGGTACTATCCTTCTACAGCCACTTTTCCCAAATGTCTCCTGCTGAACTTTTTCGAAAACGTTTTTGGACGGAATGTACTCCAAAACAACAACTCGCCCGGAGTCAGAACCCACAATCAAATAGTCTGGGAACAAAACGTCAGTGTAAATGAGAGCATACCTTTATTACTGCCTGTTAGACGAAATGGCATAAAAGATCTAACTATCCCAAAGGCTTCACATGTTAATAACGTGTAGACCTTTCCTGTATTTGGATCAGGTCTAAGAAGCTCGATTATTTTTCCTCTGGCTACTGCTATTTCCTGTTGCTTTGTTCCCGAGAAATTCCCATGAACTGCATGAGTAATTCCTGTTGCACGTTGCAACGTGATGTTGTACAGATACATTTCCGAGGGTTTCGAAAGACCCGCCTGGCTAAAAAGTTTCAAAAGTTATGATGAAATCACTTTGATTTGATTGATCTGATGGTAAGTGTTTTTTGATAATCTTGACGATGAGTGTCTCAAAGCCGATAAAAAAATTTTTATAATGCATCTATAGGAGGGTCTGTCTCTTCAAGTCAAACTAAAGAACTTGTAGCGGTAAATAAATCCCCAAAATAAATAGCTCTAAGTGTTCGACATTATATGCTGACCATATGTTTTAGTAAGCTCATCTAGTTGAAGGCGCTCGGTCATGCATCCGCACCAGATCACGTGTGGTAACTCTGTGCTCAACTGCTACCGCAATCGTTAGCCAGATTAGATCAGAGAATTCCGATATATTGGTAATCGCCAAATACACTCTTCCGATCTCCTCGACTCTGTCTTTTGATTTCTCTGAGTGGGAACGAATTATATTAGAAGGTGTTACTGGTAAAAGCGTTATCAAACACTGAATACCTGTGTCATTTTCAAACTCCATTGATTGATAGTCAGTTGGCATGTAACCAGCTTTAAGCTAGTCAAATGTTTGGTTTAATACTTGTATATTTTTTATTCCTGAGGGCTTAATAAAACATTTATGTCGCGGTCGAAACCATCAGACAGCCTTGAAGCTATGTCTCCAATAGCCCGTAGGGCCAGCGAAATGTCACTGAGCCCTAGCCAAATCATTCGGCAGTTGGTTCACTGAATGTCAAACATCATCGATCTCTGTCAAGGTCACTAACGACCAACGCGCATCAGTTAATCGTTCGCCATGGGCTGGCCCATGCGGCGGCGGTCTCACTTTCGCTTATATCTACTTTAACTAATATATTTCTGTAATAACGTCTTTTGTGTTGTACAGTCTTCATAGTGTCTGTAGTACCTTTATACGTCAGTGAGGTTATCCACGTAAAGTGCTGACCGCGAGGTGTGACTTCAATGCTAGCTAGTTCATCACACCATTCCCGTCGAACTCCAGTAGACCCCAATCATTCGACATTGATCATCTACGTTGACGATCTACAAGTCCTTTTACGTAATAATAGAAGCATTTCGTTCAAGTAACCTAATTTGGGTTGCAGTCCAAAAAGACATCCACAGGTAACCCCACATTTACTTCTAGACGTGCTTCATTTGCCTTTATACTGGAAATTAGTTTAGTGGGAAATCTTCCGTATCCAGTGTCACCAATTCTCCAGTATCCATGTGGCTGGATTCTGTGAACTGTTTAAAGTACGTCATAATATGTGTGACAATTAAATGATTGTGTGTAGTAGTACGTCTCTGAATACCTTTCCACCTTACTCTGGATATTTTAATACCATCTTTACAAAACAAAGTCGAAAATATCAGATACGTTAAAGTGTGTTTATCCTTTAAGCCTATTACGAGTCCTCATAAGTGAATCCTTCAGATGCGAAGTAATCAGAATGTAGCATCTTTTTCTGCTGTCTAACGCCTAAGTCATTTAGTCTGAGCTATGGGCATAAAAATTGCCCCGATATCTTCACATATCCTGTTCCATATTTCACCTTGCCTGCTACACTGAATATTTCTGTATAATTGTGTGATGGTACACATGTGTCGATTCATATAACGCGTGAAAACTGGATCGATTTGTTACTCTCTGGTTCGGTAAATTTTTTTACTCTTAAGCTCTTAATTTTCTCTTCATATCTTGTCTGCTTTTGTTCATTTCAATCATTGCATGTCTGAAATATGAGTATCTGAAACATCAGTCGTGTTCTACTTTTAAATTCTACGTTGTATTAGCTTGATTAGTCGACAGGAGATATGCGAAGTCAAATGAAGGCTATATTTCATTCATGTCATCATCTTTTTAACAATACTGGGGCTAAAAAAGAACGAAAAAGGCCGAAGATTGTTGGCCTTTGTTTTTTATCCTAGCACGAGCTAAAAGCAATGAAGGTGAGACAAATATTCTTCGGAAATACAAGACATAAATCAAGATTACCCTAACCACTTTCGTCAGAGAGGCTATAATTTATGAACAGACCAATCGGGGTTAATATAGGTGCTCTTGGATTTTGGTGCGAAATTCATCCATCCATATGCCTAAGTAACATTTCGATATTGTGGCTGATGTCAGTTCGTAGTGAAGACTGAAACCTTAACTCCTGAACGAAACGTCTAACATTGAATCCTAATCTTGATTCATCACACTAATCTATAATTATCATTTACCCTTTGTAAGGATGTTGACCGTCTCAAGGTCAAGGGTAGTGACGCTTCAAACCCTATCAACGTAGTGCAGCAACAATTATAACGCATACTCACACTAACGAAGTTTTTGTATTAAGGAAGAGGACTGAGCAGGAACACAGAATGAATGCCGAAGGCCAGTAAAGGATGTGGAATACTTTGATGAATGAACATGAGTTTCACATCTAAACAGATACAAGCTAACAGTTATCGAAAATTCCCTGGGGATAAATTCAACGTTATCTTAGATGGTATTACACCTTAAATGTCACCAAAGCTAACCTGTAGTGGCATTGGACCCTAAACTCACGACCTTTAAAAATATTTATATTCAACAATTTGCACGAAGAGCATGTCAGTATTGGAGAAGGGGAAAAGGATAATTCAATTCATCGGATGGCATGACTCAGCCTTGTAGGCGTGTCATCCTTTTGTAACTTGTCTCCTTGATTCGCATTAAATATATTGCTCTATCTTCAGCCTAAATGTGTTCTCCATCAAATATTTGTAATGATCACGGCAGGACAAGGCAGTGTAAACAGCGATGGGACTTTAACGTATGATGTTATAGATTCAGTAGTCACACTATGACAAATCAACAATTTTAGGATCAGGTCTATTATTAGAGCAGTACCAATAACGAAGTAGACCATAATTCTACGAACCCGCTGAAACCATTTCTTTCTTGCTTGACAAGTTCAATCGCTGAGTGTTCCATGTTTCCATGTCCAACGTCATGAGCCAGAAATTTTGTTCAAGTGATGATGAAAGTGTCGTTTGGGCAGCATATTTCTCCTTGTTTCGTCATAAGGATTTTGGTAGGTATCCACAGGATCGTAGATCGTAAGGTGGGTCAGTTCTTGTTTTGTACTACTCATAGAGAACCTCGATCAACTCCTCACGGTCCATGAAGTTGACAGTTATCAGACAATGCAGGCCGATTGTAGCTAGATATGCGTTAGGAAGTGCTCCGTAAAAACAACTCTTTTTCGATTCACCTACTGCTTGGTGGCGTGGTATTCACTGCTATTTAATTAATAGACTAAGTCTAATATTGTTGATCTACTAAGATATGAACGAATAGTGCAGATAATATAAAGTCTATGTCACATAATTGTTCACCGCGACCTACCATATTGTAGAGGTTAGGGTGTCCACATTATAAGAATCTTTAAAGAACAACAGGATAATACATTTAATATACAGACGAAAAAGTTACACAAATAAACTGCACTTGAATGGTTGAACGTTCACCTCTATTAGCCTTCAATATTTTTGGTCTATCATTCAGTGTCGAGAGGTAAAACTTCTACACTGGAATACATTCATCTAGAAAGACTATGTGGTTGTTGTTCAATGTTCTTCTGTTGTTAATTCACTATCTCTCCATCTCTTGCGAGGTTCAGCACCAATCTAGGTGAGAGGCATTGTATTTTGACCTCTGAACAAAGGGAACAGTTTAGTTGAGACAATACCAATCCCAAGCATGATCAAATATTTATCCCACTTATGCTTGTAAAAAACTTCCTTTCGTTCTGACAAACCATTTTTCAACACCTGGTCATAAAAAGTATGTAGGAACTTTGCTTTCTATCTAGATTTTTATCCACTTCACGGCATACTGATCAATAATTGGGCAAAAATGTCCTTGAAATCTACCTGTCGCTCCTTCTATCTGACCGTGGCTGGCGTGTGAGACGTTTGGTCAGCCAAAAAGTAAATTCAGTGGTTTGACTACATTATGTATCTACATAGGCTGTGGTCAACGTTCGGGGCCTGGATTTTACGGTCATATGTCTGAAGTCTCTAATAGCTCAGGTGGCCACATCTTGGACAGACGTGAACTACGGTGGCTTATATGTCACACATGAAATCATTGCTACCGTTATCTAGATGATAGAATTAACCACAGACACGAGTGTCTCATCATGAATCTGTAACACTATTTATGTAAATATGTGTTATGATGGTAGCGAAAACATCCATGACAGAGACTACATACTGATGAGCAGTAACTTGTAACTAGTGAGATGGATCCAATGAAATCGGCACCATTTTGTCCTACTCTTTTAGCACATGGTTTTCTCGGAGATCTACTGTGGAAATACAAGTACTACTTGCTCTCATTTTAGTGACTTTTGGTACCAGAGAATGAAAGGCTGGACTGAGATTAGTTAAAATATAATTACGAAGGCATTCACATCGAATATTCGGATTGTTGTTAAGAGGTCAAAGCCCTGTGTATTGCTTCAAGATGCCGTAGTGTTATACCCGAAATTTCAGACTCTGAGAAGATTTGGACATGAATACGTGCTAGGCATTCAAATCCAAGCTAATCACTATCAAGAACCAGTAAATTCCGTAACGGAGTAGGAATCTATTGGTAATATTACAACTCTAAGACATACTGTTCTCTACCACAAATGTAGAAATAAATCTACCACAAACCTTCAATATTCAGATTTCTTAAATTTCAAGAGCAAGTGTGAGCCACAAAGCAATTGATATGTGGTTTCGTTTCACCTGAATGATTTCCACTCCGGATTCACCGGGGAAGCGACTGCTTGTAATTGTGTTGAATAAAGTATTATTTAGTATATACTCTAGTCCTCTATTCTTGGTAATGAATCGGTGTTGCCGTATGGAACATTTATACCAAAAGTTGTCAATTCCAACCTCGGAGTTTAAGTCTTTCATAGGATTGGTTGTATCGTATCTTTGACGTGTCTCTAGAATAGATTCCAGCCTCTCATAAACCTGAAAAGTTTCCTCCTCTCTTCAATTGTTGGCAGGTGTGTAGGAGTAAATTACTTTTTTTCCTCATTTGTTTGCAAATATGCTTTGACGATCTTAGAGCCGTAAGCCTCTCATGCTACAAGTGCTTCTCGCGTTTCCTCAAACAGTATCA